GGACCAAAGCGGGGGGTGGGGTGCTGCTGTGGCAGGAAAACAGCCTGTCCCCCTGCCCGTAGCCTGCCTGGGGATGTGGTGGCGGGGTCGGGGATGCTGGGAGGGCGATGGCGACGAGGTTTAGGGGCTGTCCTCTCACCGATGGGCTGGGGAGGGCTGGAGGCTGCAGTCTTCCCTCGCCCCGCTGGGTGGGGTGGATGAGCTGTACATATATATATATATATATACACACACACACACATATATTTCCTGGTATCTCTGAGCCGAGCGTGTTTGGGCTCTGTCTGTGTCCCTGTCCCTCCCGCCCCTGGGTGGATCCAGCGATGAGGCTGAGCTGGTGCCTGGGGTTCGTTGTCGCGTGTCCTTGACCCCACTCCTCAAGTCCCCTTGGGGGTAGGTTATCTGTCACCGAAAGATTTAATATTTATTTCTCTTTCAACCAGATGGCGACCTCAAGGGGCTGTGGGCAGGAGCTGGCAGGTTCAGGCAGGCATTTGCCTGTCCCCTTCCCTGAACCCTCCTGAGTTCTGCCCTGGCATTTCTGACACCGGCATTGTGGTGTCACTGGGATTTCTTGTTCCCAGGGGCATCCAATCCACCATCCCCAAAGCCTGCCCTTGGCAGAGCTCACCCTTCCACCTTGCTGTGCCTCAGTTTCCCTGGCAGAGAGGCAGCAGCAGCCCCGGCCAGCTCAGGTGGGTAGAATCCAGACAGATTCACCTGGTTTGAGGGGGCAGAGGCTGGGCAGGGGCAGAGGAGGCTGTTTGCTGCCTGTAGGCAGCGGGAGGCTGGGGCAGCCCTGGTTTACTCCCTGTTGCATCGGTGCTGAGCACTGGGATGGGTGGGGACACAGACCCGGAGCCCAGCGATCCCCTCCAAGGTACTGCACAGATCCGGGGGATGGGTCCCGAGCAGGATGTGGCCAGGGGGTGCATTGCAATGGGTGGCACATGTATTTGCAAAGTGGGTGCTGAGCCCCCCTGCAGGGTGCTTTCCTTGCACCTAAGGTGCCCCTAGCACCCACCCCACCACCCAAAACCCAGTCCTGGTGCAGGAGCCGGCCCGGGGAGCCTGGCAGGATGCTCGCAGATGAGGTGTGAGCCGAGCTCTCCATCACACCCCGCTCCCCTCCGCCTGCTCCAAAATGTTCCCCAGCTGTGCTGGGCGATCACAGACCACGGCTTTTATAGTGCTGCCAGAGCCATAAATAACTTATTAAAAATGTGTTTTATTGTTTATAAATGAATAACAAAATCCCCGCTGGTGGGAGGGGGGCTGCGAGAGCCAGGGTGCCAGATATCTCAGGTGAGGGTGGGCACCCAGTGGGT